TCAGATGTGAGATAAAAGGCAAAGATGAAACTCTAGCAAAATGTAACTTGGATCAATTTAATAAAGAAAGAGCAACAAAAAAATCCTTGAGTAAGTAATGTCTTATTGCCTTTTAAAAGGAAACCACTTAGGGTTAGATTAAAAAAAGATGACAAAGTAATAGGAATAGAAAAAAAAGAAGAAAATACTTCTTTCAAATCGTTGATCAAAAATAAAAATATACAAAACCTCATTTGCAGGATAAGATTGTCTGTGAGTAATAAGAAGTTACTTAGATTTTGAAAAAGATTTGTCAGCAGAAAATTATCTATATGCTGCTGTTCTAATAAGTTCGGTTTTTATTTTCCTTTTTTGAAAGACAATTATCATTAGAAATGTTTATTTTTTATAATAGAAAAAAGTATAAGTAGAGATTTGATTATAAAAAAAAAGTTGTACACTAGGCACTGAAACTAGAAATAATCATTTCTTTTTTCAAGAAATTTTTTCATATTATTCTAAATTAAGTACTCTACATCACAAGTATGAAAAACAGAAATTTTATAAAATTTCCTAAAGGTCTAGGCAGGTCCAGTTTGCTATAACAATTCCATGTAATTGATCCCCCCTATGGAAGCTAAAACAAATAATTTCATACCACATGATTTCTTAAAATTTTTTAAATATCTTCTTTTTTGTTTTATATTCATAATCTGAAGTGTTTTAATTGACAGTAATATATAAAAGAATTCCAGATTAAGAATTAAATTTTTTTTAACATTTTAAGAAATTCAATTCTGTAAGCATATTTTGTTTTGGCTTCCATGGGGGAACAACTTAGAATAAATTTACATAAAAAAAAACTGAACTCCCGTAAACTTTTATAAAATTTAATGAAATGGATATAATTTATTTTTGATAATCAATCATGATATGCTTAAATTTAGATTTGGAAAAATTTTCAGAGAAATGATAATCATTTCTTTCAAAATTTTTATTCTGGTCAAAGTGCCTATTGCCCAACTCCAACAAAAAAGAAATAATTTGTAACTTTCACAAGCTATTCTGACGAATATCAACATTTTTGTTGTTTTAATCAAAGTAAGCTACATCTTTTTTTTGTTTTTTTAAATCTCACCATCTCTTCATTTAAACATTAGACCTACATCAATTATATGGTGGGAATGGACATTGTTGTCTGACAACTCATCCACAATTGATCTTTCCACCATATAGTGAAGAAAAAAAATTTTTTCATCAATAAAAGATAACTAAATTCATGTCAAAAACTCATTGTTCCCTTTCTTGAGTATTTCTATATTTTCTTTTACAATTAAATATAAATATATATTACTTCATGTCTTCAATAAATCTATATGTCTTATTTGTCCTTTGAACTGAATAATTTGTTCATTTTCTTTTCTTTTGATTTATATACAACCATGTAGAAAAAGAATAAATTATTCAGCAGTATTTGTCTTGTTGAAGTCCAAAGAGATGAAAAAATTATATCATCTACCAAATTCTGTATCCACTTTGGGGTTCCAAAGTATCACATGAATTTTTAATAAATTCCTTTTTTATTTTTGTAAATTTACGTAATTTTACAATTAATATCGAATAACCACATCACAAATATTAAAAAGTTAAAAAAAATTAATTAAATTTAAAAAAAAAAAAACCCAGTAAGTACATTACTTATTTCTATGCTTAAATCCTGTATTGTCTCAAATGTTTCCTAAAGAATCTATACACTGTGATTGATGGGGGAATATACTTATAAATTCTATTTAAGTTCTGGGTTATAAAAACCTTTTATCATTGTCTTTTTTACAGAGCATAGACAGACATTTTAAGAAATGCTGAGTTAATTTTACAAAGAAGAAAGCAGCTCAACTTCTAAAGAGGTTCATGCTAAGAATACTTGGAGGAAAAAAAGGCAGTGAAATTAAGTGATATTTAAACAGTTCTCCTGCATGCAAACAAGAGATTTCTTTTCTGGACATAGAGTATGTAAGAACTGTCCTTCAGTGCCATCTTCAATGAAACCTGTATAAAAAAGGGATTGTTGCCCAAATATAAAATTATATATCAAAGATGTTGGAAACAAAAAGAAACAGAATCTAAATGAAATTGGTTAGATTATACACCCAAAACACATTAAAAACAATTTTTTTTCTAAATTTAAAGTTTTCAGTGTCTCCTGTTTATGCACATGTGTAGTCGCATCAACATACAAAACTAGTCCGATGAAGTCCTATGTGACACAAAAATATTTTTCAATTTTTCATACATATTTCCTCCAAAACTGTTCTCAATATATATATATATATATATATATATATATATATATATATATATATATATATATGATGCACTTTTGAGATTGATGCTTCATGTGTTTAATAAGATCTCTGCAGAGAACAACAAACTGGACAGATGTAGCTGGAAGAAATGTATCATATATATGGGAAAAAAGATTTCACCTTTCTTGGCTACTCTTATATTATTACGATGTGGGTTACTTAATAACAAAAGTGATAAAAAAATATAAACAAAGAAAATAAATGAAATTAGCTAGAATATATATATATATATATATATGTATAGGAAGAAATATGGTCTTAAGATGTGCTATATTTATGGGATGAAGTGCTCAGTATCAGAGATAGAGCGTGTGTAAATATAAAAGTGAACATAGAAGTCAACACTTAGAGGCAAGAGTCTGTTTCATGTTGACTGCATCAAGCATGAAACAAGCATGAAACAGATATTCATATATATATATATATATATATATATATATATATATATATATATATATATATATATATATATATATATATATACATATATATATATATATATATATATATATATATACATATATATATATATATATATATATATATATATATACATATATATATATATATATATATATATACATATATATATATATATATACATATATATATACATATATATATATATACATATATATACATACATATATATATATATATATATATATATATATATATATATATATATACATATATATATATATATATATATACATATACATATATATATATACATATATATATATACATATATATATATATATATATATATATATATACATATATATATATACATATATATATATATATATATATATATATATATAGATATATATATATTAGGAAAAAAATGTTTAATTTAGAATTTCAATATTACCTCTCCTTCATGGGAATGTATAGTTACATCAATGTAGTCATTACTTTAGTCCGATGAAGTTCTTATTACACAAATAAATGTTCCACTTTGTCATTAATGTTCCTCACAAAAAATCTCTCTCGCTATATATATATATATATATATATATATATATATACTATTAACCCTTCAACATTCAATCCGGCCAACCCCACTTCATGGATATCAGCTCTCAATGTTCAGCCTACCATAACCTACCCCATGTGTACTCTGTCATAATATATGACAACATCATCGCAAATAATACAGGAAGTCCTGCAAACAGTGAGACTTTGAGAGCTGATATTTATGGAGGAAGTTTGAGCATGATTAATGCAGTTTTGAATTATCATTAATATATTTTTCAATACAAGTCCTGGGTATGATAATAAACTATATCTGGCAGCAAGGCATCTGATTGGGAAATTGGAGATTTTGAGGAATGTGGAACCACCTCTTAATTGCTGCTGTTCCAAAGTTCACTCTGATCCTGGGTGGTAGCATTTGTTATGGTCCCAACTATGGGCAAATAGTTAAATCCCAAAATGAAGTCAAGACACTATGAACGTATAAAATACATATTTATAGTGTAGGTACTAGAATTACCAGCAATACATTATTGTAAAAATTTGAAAAAAAAAAAATAATTAAATTACCAGCAATAAATTTCTGAAGAAAAGAAACAGAAATTGACAGAAATACATGTCTGTAAAGAAAATTCTAATGCTCTCAAGAAAATTAAATTTTGGCATTAAAATGACCTGTGGTGAAACAACTACACTGAATCAATGGCTACAACTACCACAGGGAAAGATGATTCTCTGTGTCATGCCAGAAGGTTTTTCTCGTCTGGGTCCATCCCTCAAATCTACCATTTGTCCTTGCATTGAATACTGTTGCCATATATGGTCTGGTTCCCCACTGTTCATCTCAAGGTTCTCGACAAAATCCAAAGATGGATATGCAATGAAATAGGTCCTGACCTGGCATCTTGTCACTTTCTTACAGATGTGTTGTGGATTACCTGTCTTTTCTACAAATATTTTCATGGCAACTGCTCTGACGAGCTATTTTCACTGGTACCACAACTGCATGAATTTAAGTGTGCTACTAAGTTGGCATCTTGGTCCCACCCTTTTACTGTAAAAGTTAAATGCAACTGCCTCTTCTACTCCAACAGCTTCTTCTTGCAAACTTCTTGACAGTGGAACTCCCTTACTTGCTTCCCTGATAACTATAATCTTCAAAATTTTAAATGTAATATCAATCTACATCTTCTGATGCCTTGATCTTGATCTCTACCCTTCTCTTTATCAAACACCTCTCTTTTCTCTTACATTCTCTGTAACCTTTTGCATGCTAGTGGCACTCCCACCTTGTGAGTTGATGTGCAAACAAACAAACAGACAAACACATTTTTCAAGGCACAACAGAAGCAGATAAACTGTTTCTAGATTTGCTAGTGATAATTATATATTAGCTCATCATCACAGTCTGTAATTGCTGGAATCTTTACTATCCAACACCACTCATTGTTGTATGCAGAAAGAACCCTATTTGAATTTTAGTCCGGTTTGAAAGTTTGTAAAAGATTTGGAAATGAGCAAGCATCTTGACTAGGCAAGCTTTTTACACGTCATACACATTGCAATCAACTTGTCGACTTATAAAATGTACAATATTCACTGACGTATTCAAGCCAGAGTTGGAAAGTTACAAGATTCTCCTTAAAAGAGAAAGGAATCATGAGTGAAACAAACCTTTAGGAAAATATCCAATGGTTCTCCTGACTCTTTACTCTGACTGTCACAAATAACATTAGCGTCACTGCAGCGAACAAAAACTTGTCGTTGGCCACCAGATCCACCAACTGGCACTCCTTTGAGAGAGATAAAAAATATACAAGAAAGCAATTTAATAATAAAAAAGGAATCTTCAGAAACAATTTATGAAGAATTCATTCTGAAGTGGAACTTAAGAATGAAGTCTTCATATTGTAAATAAAAGCTATGTTTATGCATACAGGCTATGAAAAGGTTTCTATATAAAATCAATTATTAAATAACATACATTCAGCAAATACATTACAATTTAAAATCAAATGTTTTAAAAATATGTGAGTGAACAGGAAACGAGTTAAGTAGGAATACATTTTCAGTTTAAATAGCTCTTCCCTAGGGAAATCATGCAGAAGAGAAAATTTTTTTAAATATAATTTTGCAGCACATACATTAAAATCAGAGGCATTCATTTTGTATCTGAAATTACCACATATTCTATCAATAATTCCTGACCTCTGATAACACCTTTCTGTAGTAAAAATTAATACCACAGCATATAATAGGTTAGAACAAAAGTCTGTAGTGTTTTTCAGAGGTTATCATTTTTATTGATTGATTTGCTTTCTGCAGTTTATCAACCCATTACAGGTTATTTAAAGTCCAAAAATATTTTTAGATTGAAAGAATTTTTTTTTTTTTTTTTATTTGGAGATGATAATGGTTTAGTGATACTAATGAACCTATGTCTGGGAGGAGAAGAGGTGCATTCATAATTTCCTCAAAGGTATCTGCATGTAAGTGAATTTAACAAACCTAACAGGAATTGGAAATGGGTTCCCTGATTAAAAATTCTGAGCCATTATCCATTACATCACCCACACATCCAAGCTTACAGCACCTGGTGTCCCCAAGCAGTCATTAATCTAGGTAACTGTCCAGGCTTAACTTCCATGATCACACAGGAACTGCTTTTTCAATGTGATGTGGCCATTGTTGAGTTAATTCTCCTTGGCAAAATGGTAGTTTGGAAAAGGTAGATCTACACAGGTGGCACTGCTAAGTTATTTGCATATTGTTATTGGCCAATCATTGTGCTAGCATCATGTAAATACAGGCTACCCAAAAATAAGAGGGAAGTCATCTTGGATTGAAGGTGACAAGAGTAAAAAAGGTGAATCCAGCAGGAGTTTAACAGTCATAAGCCAGGTGATGTTTGATAGATGATTTCATTTCACACACAAATGATAGTTATAATAGATATACATATTCTGAAAGGTAACCTTCCAGTGTGTGTTTCTAAAAAAATTCATGTATGGATTATGAATTTTAAAATCTTTTTAATGCTGAAAGTGGAAACAAAAGGAAAACAGATGTATTATTTATCATCTGATTCTCTTATTTCTGGAAACAGAAAAATGCTGTACAAAGAGCAAAAACGACATGTGCTATTTATGGAAATGTTGACCTAGAAGACTGAAAATATTCTGGTAGGACTGCAGTTATTGATGATGACCAAATTGAAATGCTAGTTAAAAATAATCCAGGTCACACAACACAGGACAATGGAGGAAATCACTTAAATATGTGAATCTATGATGTTCGGGTGTGCAGAAAAATAATCTAAAGGGACCACATTTACATCTGCAATTCTCTGTTCAAACAAGTGTTTCCTGTTGTCTTTGCAGTTTTGAATTTAGAGGTATCCTTCTTCTAGACAGATTGGTATGGAAAGATCAAGAAGCCATTCTGCTCTGCTACTAAACCCATGGTTTGCAGTGGAAGGAAAGAGATTCATTCCTTTCACAAGAGCATTAGTGCAAAATGAACATAACAGACTCAATTTTAATTTGAACTCAGCTTACACATCCTATTTCTGTGCTAATAAGTTACACGACCCATATACAACTGTGACTATTTCCTCCATACCACACCAGAATCTTATATAACACACACACACATGTGCACACACATACACACATACAGACATATATATATATATATATATATATATATGAGGTTCAGCTGAAAAGTTCATAGGCTGACTAAGATACCCTTATAAAATGTGATCAAATGATGTTTATTTTTCAACATAGTGCCCCTATGCAATTGACACACTTCTTCCATTGGTGTTGTAGTGTTTGAATCCGATTGGTGAAGCTTTCAGCCTGTTAGTTGAAAAAGTCATCAACGGTAGATATAAAGTCATCATTATTGCAATACTGGTTTCCAGCCAAGTATTTTTTCATGTTGGGGAACAGATGATAGTCAGATGGGGGCCATATCAGGAGAATAGGAAGGGTGATCAATCAGTTCAAAGCCACAGTCATAGCAGCCATTGAAACCAAGGACTTGTGTACTGGGGCATTGTCCTGAGGAAAAAAAAGACCACTTTTGTCAGTTTTCCTGGGCATTTGGTTTCATCAATTTGGTATAGTACTCTCCATTGATGGTGTGGCTCATTTGAAGATAATCAATAAACATTATAGTTTTTGCATCCAAAAAACTTAGGCCATCACTTTCCTGTTAGATAAAATGACCTTGGCTTCCTTTCAAGCAGATGAAGAGGGGTGTTTCCACTATATCGATTGTCTCTGGCTCAAAGTAATGAACCCAGTACATCATGGATCAGAAAACGTTCAAGGAAACCAGCTAGATCTGCCTCAAAAAATGTCAGATTTTCCTGTGATGTGATCAGCCTAGTGTGCTTTTGATCATCTATCAGAAGACGTGACACCCACTGAGCAGAAATTTTCATCATGCCAAATTTATTGTAGAGAATATTTTCAACTCTCTCATAGAATATGCTAATAGCATTGGCTTAGATTTGGTTTATAGCCAATCGCCTGTCATCCATCACCATGTGGTGAAAATGATCAATGTTTTCCATGTTGGTGGCAGACTTTGGGTCATCTTCCAGACCCTTCTAAATTAAGCTGCCCACTTTTGCATTGTTGATAAAGCTGGATTGTTATCCCCAAGTAAGCATGAATGTCCTAAAGGGGCTCAATCCTTTTTCTGCAGGTACTTGATAAGACCACTATGCCAAAGTTTGTCCATTTTCAAGAGAAGTCATTACTAGTTACTTTTGAAGTCGTCTTTGAATAGTCAGATCTGAGTTTACACAGAAAGTAATAATGCACTTGGTAATAAGAAGAGCTGAAATTAATGTGTGCAGAATTTTGCATCACTCTTTTATAGTCAGCCTTTGAACATTTTAGCCCACCCTCATGTTTTATATATATATATATATATATTTTACAGCCAAAACCAAGAAGGGGCTTATGATAGTTTTGTACAGAATGGCTTGAAACAGACCATACTCTGTGTTGACATAATTTTTGTTTTTTTTGCTGTAAAAAATATATTGGCTCTGTTATAATAAATACATCGAGCTCTCTGTGGATCAGTCTTAATAATTAATATTACTATGATCCACCAAGTTATATACCAACAGATCAATTACCTGTAATATATATATATATATATATATATATATATATATTTGTGTATCTGTGTGTGTGTAAATAATTGTTAGAGTGACCAAAAGTTTTTAAATATCTAATGAATCCTGTTCATAATATTGGAGGTCAATAGAAATTATGAGTTTGATTTTCATTCAAATTTTATCAAACACTTTAAAATCCTGTTTTAACTTAGATCTAATCTGAAAATATAAATTCATAATGCCCTGATTATTAAAGGTAAATAATGCATTTGGTAATATTTTCATTACAAATCAAATTATTACTGTTTTAACTGGCATCAAAAAAAAGTGGTGAGTATTTCTTTTGGTACATTTTAGGTATGTCATGTATTCTTGATTAACAATGTCTTATTTATGACCTTAATTTCAGACCAAAGTCTCTGGCAATTGACAATGTTATTTTCAATATAAATCAAACACTTCAAAATTGAAAAAGGTGTCTATTTTTATAATAATTATTGGCAACCTAATCTCACAAACCATTGTGTTAAAATAACTGCTTTCAAATTAAAATTTTCTGTTACTTGTAAAATCCAAGATATTGTTGTAACATTTTCAGATTTTTTTTCATTTGACTTTTTACAAGAAAAACTACTTTGTAAATGCCACAGTAAGATTTGAGGCAACACCCTTCTCCTTGGTCTATTTTTCATAGATAAAATTCAGTATGACATTATAAAATGTCTAGTGACTTTGCCTTCAGAATGGTACATGGGTTACCAATAGAACTAACCAACATGACATCACGCACTCAGAAAAATGAAATTTACTTCTTACTAAGACAAAAGAAATAAAGATTTTTTTTCCAGATGGTTTCCCTTAGCTGACACCAATTTTTATTATTCCACTACTTCTTCAGATGTGCAATAAAAGACAAAGATGGAACTCTAAGAAAAAGTAACTTGGATCAATTTAATAAAGAAAGAGTAACATAAAAATATTGGCTAAGTAATGTCTTATTTCCTTTTTAAAGGAAAACACTTAAACTTAGATCAAAAAATGACAAAGTAAGAGATTAAAAAAAACAATTCATTTTTAGCAAAAGGTGCTCTAGGGTAGGCAATTTTAAACCCTATTCTGCTTTGTGGATGGTATAAGAATATTCTCTGTTGTGAAATAAAACATGTCAGAAAGTCATAATACCAAGTTGCCTTTTGGTAATATCTACCTATGTATCTTATCTAGAAAAGTTCCCATATGCATTCATTCTGGTAAAAATGCAGGCAGAAAACAAAACAAAACAAAAGCAATAGCAGCCATGCAACAACAACATAGTTTCAGAGTGAAAGAGAGAAGAGTTAAAAAGGATTTGGTTTCAAAGCCTAAAAGGGGTGAAGGGTGAAGAAAAATCATTGAAAACTATACTAAATATTTCTGTAATTTCCAGCTTTTAAAAAAGACTTAGTTTTTTAAAAAAAAATAAGGCAATCATTTTTTTTTTTAAACTAAAATTAAAGTTTCATTGGTACTGGTTATCATATTTACCCTATAGTAAAAATGAAAAACGTCCTTAAAAATTAAATTTCAATTTCTTCTGAACCAGAATAAAGCATTCCAGGTGAGAATACTAATTTTAAGAAAATTTTGAAGAGAAACTGAAAATCCTGAATTAATCTAACTCAGCAGAATAGTAATAATATTACAGAGGTTTTCATTTTAATTTTTTAATTTCCACATATTTAAAAATTGATGAATAAACAAACATGTTTTATAAAATATAATACATTGTTTGTATGCAGAAGTTTCACAACAACTTTATACATGATAAAATCTTTGATTGATTGAAAAATATATATATATATATATATATATATATATATATATATATATATATATATATATATAGTTTATGCAAATTTAGGTAATCCATATGGGTAGACCTGAGGAGGATGATATCCAGAGAGCTCAATGTAAAATTCAGAGCAGATATCTAGATTACAATGTATATATATGTATGTGTGTGTGAATGATGAAAATAGTTTTGAATTATGCTGTACTTATGGATAAAAGTGCTCAATACCAGGGACAAAGCATGTATAAATATAAGAGTGGTAGCTCAACTATTTATATATGCTGGTCAATGGGGGAAATTATGAGTAGCAGGGTCAAGTATTTCTGTTTATTATATTATCCTAACAGTTATTGGGTAGGCATCAACGGTAATATTTAAAATTATTCTCAAGGCTATAAAAATCAGAAGTAATTCTGGGTCAGATTATTTGTAGCTATTGTATTGTATTGTTTGTTAACTCATTATTTATTATTAATTACTAATGGTATTTTATAGTTATTCATTAATTATTTGTTGCTGTTTATTATTAAATTTATTCAGTTGTGGTTATTTATGCATTTATGGTTTGTTAATTTGTTTATCATTTATTTACTTATTTATTTTATTTTTTCCATTTGTGGGGTTATCGTATTGGTTTTGTTTAAAGTATTTTACATTATCTGTGTTGTATATAGTGCATTTTTCTTGGTGAGGTTTTACAATGTATACATTTTTAGTTTTTAAATAACATACCAAAAATTTGTTTATGTGATTGCATTTTTTAGATAAGTTCTGATTATTTATTTAGTATTTTGTGTTGGTCTGTGAAGATGATGAAGGCTATTTTCTCCTCCAGACAAAGTTAACAGTTTTGGGATTTATTGCTGTTTTTCTTATCCACAATTTTTTTTTTTTTGTATTTTGTTTTTAAGTTCCCATATATGTTTAGAAAGGGTTGTGTTGTTCACTTATTTACTATTGGTAAAGGATGTTTTGTGTGCATAGTTTTTCTGTTTCAAGGGTCCTTCATTTATGCCTATGTTTATTTTTCTTTGTTATTGATTGCTTATACAGTGGCTTGGTATATTATACTGCTTTGTAAGCAATTATCGTTTAATGGACATTCATTCTTTGCTCTGCACTTGCAGGTGTGTTTGGTTTGTGTGGGTCATTTGTTGATTATTTTTCTGTTTTGCTGTTTTATTATTAGTGTCATGTTCACAAGGCAATTGTAGCTTATTTTTACCTTGTTTCTTTGAATATCTGGCGGAAAGTGCATGGTGGAGGGAAGAGTGGATGAGTTTATTGAATATTTTTCCTATGTTTGTTTTTACATTTCTTGTAAACCATATGTTTCTTTTTGTACTATAGCGTGAATATGAGTGTTGTGAAGATTCACTATCTTTTAAAATTGTTTCATAATCTTTTTTGGCACTGTTGTAGATGGTTTCATTAGAAGAATTGCTAAGTACACTAAGGTTAATATATATATATATATATATATATATATATATATATATATGTATGTAGAGAGAGAGAGAGATGATATGTATGTGTGTGCCAATTTTTCTTTTTTTTTTTCTTTTACAGTATGATTCACCCTTTACAAGGCCTATAGGCCACTCAGGGTAGAGGGTTACATCAGGAGTTAATTTGTGCAGATAAGAGTGGAAGATAATGGTTAAAACTAGTTTTGAACAGAAGATTGTGCTGATCGGAGAAACAAGTCCTTGGGAGTCAGTTCCACACAGCAGTGGTTTGCAGGAAGAAGCTGTTAGATTGGAACTTACTTCTCACTGATGGAATACAGAGGGAATGAGGGTGGGTTGCTACTATGTAAGTGGCATGACATGTCTTTGCCATGAAGGTTTGAATTGGCGGGACTGGGGAATGTAGTTCATTCAAGCATTTTCCATGGAAGTAACAATACAGCAGTGAGAGGCATTTCACCTACTACCTGTGGGTGAGAGGGTTGGAGGGTGGTTTTAAAAGAAGGGAAAGCAATTTTGAGGGAATGGTAAAGAATAAAATTTGACTAAACAGAAAATAAAAATTTCTTTTTTTAACCAAAAATCTAATGAGTTGTTTTATAAGGAAAGCTAGTAGTGAACAACCTCAAAGGCAGCAAATGAAATGTTTTTTGGCCATACCTTTGTTTTTTAGATTTTCCCCTTTTTAATATTAAATTGTATTTTAATCATAGTTCCTCAACTCCTCCCAGTTTGACTATTTCCCGCAATTATGATTATATTATACTATTCACCAATGATTTTTCTGATGAATTGTTGGCTGAAAAAAGGTTACTTTTTTAAATATGCAATTTTATCTGTTTAAAATATGTATATATATATATATATATATATATATATATATATATATATATATATATATATATAAGTTTTTTTTTTTTTATTATATCAGGTCATTCCATAAGTTCTGTCAAATTTTAACTTTTTGTTAAAATGAACGAAATTTAAAAAGTATTTTATAATGTCAAATGAAGCTAAACATTATTTTTATGTTTAGATGCATTTAAACTGATCAAATTCTATTTCAAAGAAAAATAAAATTAAATTTTTTTGATTAAAATTCTGCTAACATGGAAGTACCCAAGAATCATTTATTTCTTTATTCAAAATTCGGACAGAACTTATGGGATGACATTATATATATATATATATATATATATATATATAATAAAGAAAAGACTTATATATATATATATATTTATTAAGTAAGTCTTTTCTTTATTATATATATATGTGTGTGTGTGTGTGTGTGTGATAGTAATAATGAGATCAAACCTGAGAACAGAAATATACCATTTCAAAGCTTAGTAACTGTAAACCTCTATTCTCAGGAAAGTATTGTTTTAGTATAATAAAAATATTGATCAGCTAAGCCATTGAGTTTTATACCTGCAGAGCACTCAATATATCTAGCCTTCTGTCAGTTTATGTAGTTATCAAGGTAAGTTATTGATTTTATGGATAATTATCTCCATGCACCTTTCTTTTATATTTGCAATATTTTGTGTTCAAGGGGTTAAAATACTAAACTTTTTTCTTTTCAAAGGGATTCTTTTTTTTAATCATTACATGTCATGCGATAAAGCAACTAAGACAGAATGGTGAGTAAAAAACAAAGAAACAAACATACCAGGGAAGGAATGCAATGGTGGTAATCGAATGGACTTCTTCAAGAATGACTGTTCAGGATGATGGAAGCGAAAAGTCTGATCAATGATATGAGGTTGGTATTCCAGTCTCAAAGACAGGATGGACAGGATTTCTTCATTTGTTGTTGTTTTGAAATAGACCTAAGAAGAAATGAAAAAGCTCAGTTAAAGAAATATTTCTCTCAGTGTCATTTTCATATTCTCATCAAGCATAATGAGGCTGAAAAATAAGTGAAAAAATAACATACCTTTGCAAAGAAAATGAAAACATTATGAATTCTTCTGAATATATAATTAAAGAAATATTCTAACAGAAGAGAAGAAAAAGTATTATAAGACTTTCCTTTGATGCCTTTTCAAATGCTAGTGAGCTATTCCAATACCCTATTATGAGTAAGTAGCGAATTTGATCCACACAATGCCCTACATGTGTGCCTTTATTGCCACACATGTAGGACTTTTTGTTTAGTCTGGCCACCAAGTTGCCATACTAAATATGATGAGAAATTTTCTGTTTCTTTTTTTTTTTCCCCACAAGAACAATAAAACATGATCACAGAATATGAATACAGTATACAAGGTGTTGGTAAAAACATCTTGACCTGATCAAGAAGCTTTTTCACAACAAAAAAAGAAAAAAGACAAGTAAAGAAATAATGTAAGAATGAACAAAGAGAAAAGATAAAGAAAGAAAGAAAAGTTAAAGAGAAGAAAGAAAGAAAGAAAGAAAGAAAGAGGAAAAGTAAAAGAGGAGAAAGAAAGAAAGAAAAAGGAAAAGTAAAAGAGGAGAAAGAAAGAAAGAAAAAGGAAAAGTAAAAGAGGAGAAAGAAAGAAAGAAAAAGGAAAAGTAAAAGAGGAGAAAGAAAGAAAGAAAAAGGAAAAGTAAAAGAGGAGAAAGAAAGAAAAAGGAAAAGTAAAAGAGGAGAAAGAAAGAAAAAGGAAAAGTAAAAGAGGAGAAAGAAAGAAAAAGGAAAAGTAAAAGAGAAAAGAAAGAAAGAAAAGGAAAAGTAAAAGAGGAGAAAAGAAGAAAGAAAAGGAAAAGTAAAAGAGGAGAAAGAAAGAAAGAAAAAGGAAAAGTAAAAGCGGAGAAAGAAAGAAAGAAAAAGGAAAAGTAAAAGAGGAGAAAGAAAGAAAGAAAGAAAAAGGAAAAGTAAAAGAGGAGAAAGAAAGAAAGAAAAAGGAAAAGTAAAAGAGGAGAAAGAAAGAAAGAAAAAGGAAAAGTAAAAGAGGAGAAAGAAAAAGAGAAAGAGAAGAAAGAAAGAAAAAAGAAAAGTGAAAGAAAGAAAAATGTAAAAGGAAGAAAGAAAGGTAAAAGAAAAAGTGTAGGAAAAAATAACGAAAGAGATTGAGAAAGAATGAGAAAGAGAGAAAGTGAGAGAAAGAAGGAAAAAAGAAAGAAAAGTGGAAAAAAGAAGAGAAAGAAAGAGAAAAAAGAAATAGACAGAAAGAAACAACAGATTTTTGGTCATTTGATCAAATTTTGTAAAGTGAATTGTGCCATTAACTTTCCAGTACCACACTGTCCATTTACATTGTTATATATGTATGTGTATGTGTTCACCCAATACAATGCTCAAAGCTACTAAAGTTAGAGATATTGTAAAAATGTTTATCTGAAATGTGCTGAATGAGATGAATGAAAAGGACGGTAGGAAGTGAAGATTACTCAAAGCAGAAGGATTGATAAAAACTGGCACTTGACTTGATTGAAGTGGTTAATTTTGTAGTATTCAGGGAAGCATTCACATGGGAGTCTGCTCTCCAAGGTACCAGTTCTTGGAGAAAAGCTGAGTGGAACTTCCTTCTTACAACAAATGGAATTTGGAGGAAATGAGGATGATTTGACTCCATGAAAGTAGCAGGGCATGTCCTAACTTTAAAGATCCGAAATGATGGAACTAAAGAATGGAGCTTATATGAACATTTATCATAGAAATAGTAATAGTGATCAGCTTGTGACATTGGACTGGCGAGGAAAAGGTTGTAGAGGGTATATAGGAAGGAGGTGAATAAAATTTATGAAATCATAAAATCATTTTTTTTAAATTTTACTCCAAAGCTATCAAAATTATTTAACAAATATGACTAATTTTTCTTTTTGTATATTTGCATTCATGACATTTTTCAGTGTGAAAAAAATGAAATTCCAATTAAGCATCACTTATCCATACTGAGAAACAAAATATCGATGATGCTCAACAGGGAAATAAAAGGCCAACAAAAATGGATCCTCTCTGTAAACGTCCTTTTTTTTCTTCATTGTATTAATCTATTCTTTCTGAATTCCAAACAAAGACCTTTATTAAAGAAAGAATTAGCAACAGTTAATGATGTGTTATGAAATAGAGAGCACTGAATAACCCTGCTAGCAATATTAAAAATAACATCACCGAAAGGTTCAAATACTTTTCTTAATGGCTTCAAAGAATGTTTTCTTGTTTGCCATTTTGAACTGACAAACTACAGACCTTGACAAGGCTTATCAAGATCGTAGCATGTCAATAAATGTTGTTTACATAAACCTCAGAAATGAAGGCAAGAATTTGATGGAGACAGAAAATATTGATACTTGAAAAGGACTACAGGTTAACTGTTTCAATACATCTTCAATTAGTGCCGAGTCTCAGAAAATAGCCATTTTTTTTGTAATCATTTCACCCCAAACAATGTGATATTGCCACTAGGATGTCAGGAGGAGAGCATTCCACGAGTAAAAGAGAATGAGGAGAGACTTTAGTGAAAAAGTGAGAAGTGAGAAAAAAGACAATAAAGGAATAGAATTCAAGACAAAAGATAGCAATTGATGTTGCATTCAATTTTCAAGAGATTTTTCAAGCTCTCTTTACTCATTATATGCCTTTCTCTTCTTGATGTTGGTTCCATTTTCTCTAAAACCACACATGCTCAGTCTATGGTATTCTCAGTATCCTATAGAACCACATTTCTGTTGGGTCAAGTGTCTCTTCTTCATCCGTGGGGAGATAGTCCAGCACTCACTTCCACATAGGAGGACTGATATTACATAACAGTTCAGTACTCTTTTCTTTGTTTCTAACAAAATTTTCCTGCTTCTTAATACTTTACTTAGCTTTAGGAAGGCATCTTTTGTTGTTACAATTCACCTTTGAATTTCAGTGTTGCATTTTCTGTCCTCTGTTAAGAGACTTCTCAGATATTTAAATAGTTGTACTTGTTTGATTTTGTTATCCCCAATTTGTAATTTGTATATTGGGCTGTTCCTTTTGCTAAAAACCTTCCAATTCATCTTCTTGCAATTAACATTTAACCCTTTCTTCCTTTGTTTTACTACCATCTGTAGGAGTTTTTGTAGTTTTCTTTCTATGTCATCACTATCATCTGCATATCTTATGTTGTTAAAATTGTAGCTGTCAATAATGAATCCCAAGTGGGCTTTTAATTTTCTCAGAATTGCTTCACTGTTCTCAGTTGAATAAGTCTGGTGAGAAGAGACATCCTTGTCTTACACTCCTTTCTATTTTTAATATTTACTGAATTCATTTTCTATCTGTATATCAGGCAGTTTGATGCCAGTATGATTATATCTTTCCTAAATATGTCAAGGTTACTTAGCAGGTTCAACAGTTCATTTTAACAGATATATTTACCAAAATTACACAAAAATATCTTGAAATACTAAAGAATAAATTTATTCAATAAAACCGCCATTGGCATTAACCATGGCCTCCAGATGACTTTGTAATTTCTTGCAACTCTTCTGGACAGTCTCCTTGTTTAAGTTGGTGAATACTGCCATAATCTTTGCCTTCAGTTCATCTTTACAAAGAGTTTTGTTGGTCTCTCACACAACTGTGCTCCACACATAATAATTAAGAAGTTAAGTTGCCAGATGTAAGGGGTGATGTGGTCTTAGAAATTGCTTGACAGCTATGACTGGGTTCCTCCTATTTATGTGGCATGGTGCAGAGTCCTATTGTCAGACAGAGTCTGCCAGCAGCCACCCTCTTGACAAAGGACAGCACTACCTCCTGAAAGTACTTGATGTCGGCCTCTGTGATGAGTCTATGACTTTCTTCAACAAATTTGGAAGTCTGTTTCTTATCAGAATGATCAGAGTGAGTTTTCTGAGCTGCCATATCTTCGTAATCACCATTAGACTCACCCAACTCTTTCCAAATTCTCTACATTGTTCTTAGATTGACACCCAAACACTCTGAAATGTTTATATTGGAGCTTCTAGTGTGAATGCCAAGCAGTACAACATGCTGTTTCCAAATTTCTAGCAGAGTGAATTGTATCATGGTGGTGTTTTTCTCACAAGACGGTGCCCAACTGACCCTACTATACTGTGCAGTCAACAAAATCAGAAAGAATGTGCATGCACAAAATTAAAAATATGAAATAGCGATAAGTTAACCATCGTACCCTGTCCATATCTATCAGGTGCTGAAAGATTCTCATCCATCTAAGGAAGATCAAGAAGAATTCTAAATTTTGGTAATTTAATTAAATGTTTGGAATTGGGTCAAGCAAAACATATTTCAACACAGCCTTGTATATAATAGCATGATTACTACATCAGATGGTTTACATAACCTGCCTTCAACAACAATATAATAACATTTCCAAGATTGCATATTAGCTGGTAAATCAGATAGAGTGCCTCTTTATAGATTACATTTCTTCTGAACATTCATCTTCAAAGGCACTGCCTCTCTCCCTTATAAAGAGCCTCAACTGTGCAAAATTTAAAGTCAGATCCTCTCAATGTTACATATCCATGTGCAATACGTTTAGATTATTTATTTACCTCTTCACTGTCAAAATGGTTAAATGTAACCATCTTTTCTTCTCAAACAGCTTCTTCTCTCACACTTTCCTTCTGTGGAACTCTCTTTCCCTATAATTTTCAAATATTCAAGTGTAATGTCAATCAACATCTGACAACCTGAGCTTGTTCCCCATCCTTCACTGTATCCTTTCCTTAAACATGCCTCTTTACTCTTATTCTCAATCATCTGTAACCCCTTGCATGCTAGTGGCACTCCCGCTTTGCTTGGGGTGAATTGCTTAAAAAAAAAAAAAATAAAATAAAATACTTACAGCTTGTCAATGTTAAATGAAGTTAAATCACTGAATGGATTGAAATATACAGTATTATTTGGTCACAAGCAACATTTCAGCAGGAACTGAGAAATATCATTCTTGCTTATTTTCACATATAGACTCTCTTATTCTCACTCCACCCTGGCTTTTTTGAACAAGAGTAGAGTTTATCCCTTGTTTCCTGTTTAGGATTGAGTTTCCAGTTCCTTCTAAGGTTTATTTCAAACTCTATACTTCTAACATCTCCACCTGAACTCTGAAATTTTATTTACTATTAGGTTCACCTGTCATCTAGTTCACACTCCTCCCTGGTCTTTTGAACAGGAGTAGAGTTTTAGGACCGAGTTTTCAGTTCCTTCTAATGTCTTCATTTTCTTTCACTCTCAGTAGCTTCTTGTGCATTAGTGGCATTATTGCCTTGCTTTGGGTGAATTGATGAAAAAAAAAAAAAGTTTCATCAATGATCAATTTAAAATAAATCTATCAGGTTTCAGATAAATTTCACCATAACACTCAAAAAGTTATTTTCATAGAAAATACAAGAGAATCTTTTTAGATTGTTCTACACAATTTTGCAAACTGAATTAAAAGTAATTTTAATAGCAACCATTAAGCTTTACTTTTACATGTATAATAGTGTACTGAAGAGTTCACAAGAAGACATTGACGAAAAAAAAAAAAAAAATCTCAAATACTTTGGAAAGTGGTTTAGGTCAATAATATTTCAGCACCTCCTCATACATTTGTTTCAGAAACTGAGTACCAGCCAAATGACTGTTTACTTTCCATGATTAAAGCTCGTAGCAACAAAACTTCACAACCTTTCTAAATTTTTGGCCAGTTTTCAAAACAAATATTTTAATGACAGCAGCCAAAACACAACATTGCCTCACATCAAGGCTCGAGTGCAATTGAAGAGGAACTGCATAAAGATTTGTCTCAAAATTCACTGAAAAGTGAAAAATAAGAAATTCAAGATGACATTCAAATATAGTTGTTGAAAATTTAAAAATGGCTGAGACATTTGTATACACCTATGGTCAGTATTTTGTTCTATGTAAAAGCCAAGATTTTAATGTTTTTTTTTTTTTTTTTGTTTAAGTAATGTACAGTGGAGTAATGGATAGTGGCTAGGACTGAGGAATCGGAGAGCCGAGTTCAAATTCCAGTTGAATCCATTATATTCTCCACCCCACAAGCTATGGGTAAATAGCAAGACAGACTGGGTTCTATAGCCTTGGATGGCAACCTACTGCAGAAAGAAATGGCAACCTACTGCAGAGAAAAAATCTGCCTCATTAGTCATGTATCAAAAGATATGTGATTGCCTAAGCGTGTATCACGCATGGCACATAAGTGAACTTCTCTTGGAAGATCAGTGTAA